TTCACAGAACAGAGGACCAGAGAAGACAGAGAAGCTCAGAAAAGACTCTGGGATCTACAGAGCATCCCTTTAAGTATTCAGCAGAACAACGATCAACATATGCACATGAGGAAATTACTAAAAGTCAGAGAAAGAGCCATCTGAAAATAGTAGAGGAAAAAATACCTCATGCCTAGATCCTAAGAGAGAAGCTGTTTCTGTCATCTGGACTGAAAACCTCATAACTCAGTGCACATTGGGAAAAGTACCCAGAAGAGCCTGACCTGAATAGGAGGTAACAATTACCTACTGAGGTTTATGCACATCTGGCCCTGCCTAATACATCTTGCACTATTCAGTGGATTAAACTCTTTCTGCAGCCGAACTACATCCTAGAACACAGGGAAATAAGAAAGTGCTTAAAATTTCTTAGAATTTGCAAATTTCAAGAAAGTCTAGGACCGTTTAGTGTTTATAAGAATCATCGTGGAAGTTTACGCTAAAAGCTTTTCTAAATTTACATTTAATTGATATATAAAACATACAAATGTGTATATTAATGATGTTTTAATACCTGTATGAACTGTATAATGTTTAAAACAGATGAAACACATCTATTTCATCATGCATATATTGTTTCTTTATGGTGAAAATATTCAAAGTCCTTTTTTCCAACTCTTTGATATACAATACACCATGGCTACCTGTAGTACGCTACGGTGAAAGAATGTACCAGAATTTCTTATCCTTATTTTTAACTTAACACCCATCGATTAACCTTTCCCCATTTCTCCTATCCTCCCTCCCATTCTACTCTCAGCTCACATGGTATTGACATTTTATGTTCATGCAGTGCTTACCTTCCAGTGACTGCCTTATTTCATTTAAGGAGATCTCCACTTTCATGGTTTTGTCTCACATGACTTAATTTTATCCTTTTCATGGGTGAATAGTATTTTTGTGTGCATATGTAAAATATGTACACATATTTTCTTTGAGTATTGTCCAATTCATGGACACTTAAGTTGTTTCCATCAAAATACTCTTATTATTTCAGTCTGGAGTGATCCACAAATTTTCGTTTAACATTAGTCCTTTTTTAATAGCTGAATAATACTCCATTGTATAAAAATACCACAACATTTTTATTCATTCCTCAGTGGATGGACATCTGGGTTGTTTCCAAGATTTAGCTATAACAAATTGAGCTGCTATAAACATGGGTGCACATATATTGCTGTGATATGATGTCTTTAATTCTTCTGGGAAAATACCCAGAGTGGGAATAGCTGGGTTAAAGGGACTTCCAATTCTAGTTTTGCGAGGAATCCCCAAAATGCTTTCCATAGTGGTTTCACCAATCTACACTCCCACCAGCAGTGGAGTAGGGTTCCTTTCTCCCCACAGCCTCTACAGCATTTGTTATTGGTTGATTTCGTAATGATAGCCATTCTTTGTGGGGTGAGATGCAATCTCAGTGTTGTTTTAATTTGCATTTCTCGAACGACCAATGTCATTGAACATTTTTTCATGTATTTATTCGCCATTAGCATCTCTTCATTAGAGAAGTGTATATTTATCTCCAATGCCTATTTTTGGATTGCTTCTTTGAATTGGGGGGCCTGATTTTTTAAAATTCTTTATATGTCCTACATAGAAGTCCTTTGTCTGAGGGGCAGTTGACTAAAATTTTTTCCCAATTCGTGGGTTTTCTTTTTACACTCTTGGTGATTTCTTTAGATACACAAAAGCTTTTCAATAAGATGAGATCCTGGGGGCTGGGGATTTAGTTCAAGGGCACAGCACCTGCCTGGCAAGTGCAAGGTCATGAGTTCTATTCCCGGTACTGGAAAAATACCAAAAAAAAAAAAAAAAGGATGAGATCCCAGCTGTTGATTCTTGGAAGTATTTCCTGTGCAGTTTGGTTTTTGTTCATGAACTCTCTGCCTGCAACAGTGTCATCAAGATTTTTACCTACTTTCTCTTCCAATAAATTTAGGTACTCTCGAGGCTTTTGTAGGTAAATGGATGCGACTAGAGACCATACTCAGAAGTGAAATAAATCGGATCCAGATGGGTAAACATCATATTGTCTCCTTGGTGTAGGAACCTGAAAGACTAGGCAAAACTCAAAATTTACAATAGATGATAGGAAAGAGGAAGAAATTGCTCAAAGGAAGGAATGACTGGGATGAGGGAAAGAAGAAAAAAGAAAGAAGGAAGGCAAAACATGAATATATATATGAATAGCTGTGATAACTGTCTTGCTGATGGTGTATTGAAATGAAGAGTTATGATTACAATTTTTTATGTTCTGATTGATTGTGCATGCTTGTGTCTGTTGGTCTGAGCTACTGATTTGAAGGTAACAATATGCAATGGAATTAAAACGGTGAACTACCATCTTGTCTAGTGAAACTCTGTATTATCTCTAATGATTTATCAAAGAATTATTTTCTTATTTCCTATAATGGTTTGAGCAATCTTTCATTCTTACATCTGGTAATCTGAGCAATGTAGTTGAGGATAGTGATATGTAATGTAACAACCACCTTTGATTCATATTATTTTGTCTTGAGACGCTGTATCACTTTGAATGCTCTTGCTTTGATTTGCTTATGTTTGTGATACTGGTATGCTGCTATTGTTCTATTTCTTTGTTTCTCATTTACTACTCTCTTTAAAATAAAAAAAAGAAAAAAATTAGTCCTCTTACTAGACCCAGATGCAAAATGTTATAGAATTAACTTTGAGAAACAATGATTTAAATAGATTTCTGCAAAGACCGTGGTTGTAATTTAAATGGCACCAAACCAAAAGCTCTTAGCTCACTTATTTAGAGAAAATGAGCTAAAATCAGGTTAAGAACCAGCATAACTGCAAAACATGTTTTCTATGGTCATGTTTATGCTTTCTGGGAAGTGGGTGTGTATTAAGTTGATTAATGGCACAGTCCAACTTAGTAAAGCCAAAGAAGAAAGAAATCATGTAAACTTGTTGGGCCTAGTTTTATATAAAAAACTGCACATAATAAATCTTATCAGGCTCTTTAAGGGATTAATTATTTTATGTAGAAGTACGTACCATACTGCTTTAGAAATTTTAGAAAGTGCACAGCATGGATGTTTATATTTTAAAATCCTTAATGTAAGGTTCTAAATTATTATTTCAGCACACTTTCTTACCTCTTATTTTAATATGGGTTATAGTTCATCTTTGTCTATGTTATTAGTAATTTTTCTTTAAATTCTATGTATAAACCTATTTGCAAGTGTCAGTTGAAGGACTGTCTACTTTCTGAATGATATGGTAGTTTTATGTGTGCTAGCCCATACTCATTTACTTTTTCTTCTATGGTGAGAAAGCAGTCTTTATGTCAGTAGTGGAGGGGTACTGGGAATTGAACACACAACCTCGTGCTTGCCAGGCAGGTGCTGTGCCGCTGAGCTATATCCCCAGCTACTACGGTAGTAGTCTTTAGATAGACTTCAATGTCTACCTTATTATCCTGGATTACCATATATGAAGTACACTACTGGCACATGTACCTAATTATCAAATGAAAATCGTAGCAGGAGTTAAAAGAGTGAAACTGTTCTTTTAGTTGTTGCTACTCTGTGATATTAATGGGTCATCTTCCAGAGCACAGAGAGCAAGGAGCCACCTGTTTGGAAAAGTCATTTATGTTCACAATTGTATTAGTTACTTTCCTGAAGCTGGAGCAAAACAGAGACAACTGCAATTGAAAGGAAGATAGGTTTGTTTAGACTCATGGTTTAGTTCATGTATGGTCTGCTAGCACTAAGGCAGAAAGAGTATGGTAGAGAAAGGTATCATGAAAGAAGCCGGGGGCTGGGCGGAGAGAGAGAGAGAGAGAGAGAGAGAGAGAGAGA